GTTGGAACACTTTCCCTATGAAGCGCTTGGGGCTCTTCAGCTTGGAGAAACGACGGCTGAGGGGTGACACGATCGAGGTTTACAAGATTATGCATGGGATAGAGCAGGTAGAGAAAGAAGTACTTTTCTCCCTTTCTCACAAGACAAGAACTCCTTGTGGGCACTCCATGAAATTGCTGAGCGGTCGGGTCAGAATGGATAAAAGGAAGTACTTCTTCACCCAAAGAGTGATTGACACATGGAATTCACTGCCACAGGAAGTGGTGGCGGCTACAAGCATGGATGGCTTCAAAAGGGAATTAGATAAGCATAGGGAGCAGAGGTCCATCAGTGGCTATTAGGAGCTCTGGGACAAGTGATGCTCTATCATAATGGTGCTTGAGGGTGGGGGGGCAACAGTGGGAGGGCTTCTAATGTCCTGGCCCCACTGGTGGACCTCCTGATGGCACCTGGTATTTTTGGCCACTGTGGGACACAGAGTGTTGGACTGGATGGGCCATTGGCCTGAATACAACATTGGCTTCTCTTATGTTCTTATATGGAGCAGAGGTCCATCAGTGGCTATTAGCCACAAGGTCTAGATAGGAACTCTTGGTCTGGGGCAAGTGATGCTCTGTCTTCTTGGTGCTTGGGGGGGGCAACAGTGGGAGGGGCTTCTAGTGTCCTGGCCCCACTGCTGGACCTCCTGAGGGCACCTGGTGTTTTTGGCTACTGTGTGACACAGAGTGTTGGACTGGACGGGCCGTTGGTTGGATCCAACATTGGCTTCTCTTACGTTCTTATAAGAGGGAATGGGATAAGCTTATGGAGCAGAGGTCCATCAGTGGCTATTAGCCACAAGGTCTAGATAGGAACTCTTGGTCTGGGGCAAGTGATGCTCTGTCTTCTTGGTGCTTGGGGGGGCAACAGTGGGAGGGCTTCTAGTGTCCTGGCCCCACTGTTGGACCTGATGGCACCTGGTATTTTTGGCCACTGTGTGACAGAGTGTTTGGACTGGATGGGCCACTGGCCTGATCCAACATTGGCTTCTCTTCTTATGTATGTTCTTATATGGAGCAGAGGTCCATCAGTGGCCCCTATTAGCCACAAGGTAGGATAGGAACTCACTGGCTGGGGCAGGTGGTGCTCTGTATTCTTGGTGTTTGGTGTGGGGGGCAACAGTGGGAGGGCTTCTAATGTCCT